TTAACATAAGAAAAATATTGTTTCGATGTTTTCACATGAATAATTGAGAATGAGGCATTCTAAATCTTCATGTTTTATAGCTCAAACATATACTAACTTTGAAGTAAAATTGGAGTATTAATTAATTTATTTATTTATTTATTTATTATTTTTTTGACACAAGGAGTATTAATTTTAAAATGAGAATCATATATATATATGAATGCAAATTAAAGCATCAAATAGTACATCTATTAATTTTTTTTATAAAAACAATATAAAAAAGATAAATGATCTTACCTGAAATCTCAATTCATATATCAAATTGGTTGATACAACTTCTCTAAAGACTTTTTTTGTTCATCTGAATTATGAATTACAGTGTTTTCATAGCTTAAATAGAGAGATTAAGGGTAGAAAAACAGCATATTAATTTATTGGTGTAAATTGCTTAATTACTATTAATCACCCTTTTTATTGTTAACATATTTCCTTTCATTTGATGGATAATTAAGTTTCCTTAATTTAACCGAAGACTAGGTCAAATGTTTTCAGGAAGGTCTTTTATTTTCTTGTCTTTGTGGCAGGCAATTAATTTTACTATAGTAACTCGAATTAATTTACATTCCTCTTAAGAAAATTACATTCCTTATAAAAAGCTCTAAATTATTTTATTGCAAAAATAATTATTCTATAAGATATTGCTTCCAAAATTAGGTTCTAGGTACATTATATTTTCTTTTACTATCATATTGAAAATTACATTATAGTAGAGCGGGGTGTATCATGTGCCAGAAGTACATTACATATAAATAAAAGAATATTGGGACAAATTTAATGGTATTTTATTTATATGTAATTATATTAGGTTCCGTGTCATGCATGATTATTTTCACTAAATTTAATCAATAAAAGAAAAAAAAATTGTATTAAAAAATAGTATAGATAAAATACACCTATAACATATTTATTATCTTCTTGTTTTGCGTATATAATGAAATGAAACATGAAATATAACGAAAGAGTCAATTTAGGGATGGCAATCTAGTCCAGATCCGACCCTACTCCGCCCCGATCCGAGGTAAAATATCCGCTTTGAGTCCGAGAAAAAAGTAATCCGAGTTCGACTCCGTTAAAATAATCTGACTCCGAGTCGGAGGAGGGTCGGAGTCGGATCCTATAAAAAATCCGAGAAAAAATCCGACTCCGACAAATGTCCGACTTTAACGGATTATCCGACTCCGACTCCGACTCCAATAGATAGTGGATTTTTGTGTGGGTCGTGGTGGCATTGGGTGTGGGTTGTAAAGGCCCAAATAGCCCAACATCTCAAAGTATATTGAATAATGAAAAAAAAACTTGGAGTCAGGTCGGATCGGAGTCGGAGGTCGGATATTGAAGTCGGAGTCGGATGTCGGAGTCGGATGTCGGAGTCGGATTTAGCATAATCCGCTCCGAGTCCAACCCGTTGCCATCCCTAAGTCAATTAGACAAATGAGTATATTAAGGGCCTGCTCATTTCAGCTTAATTCCAGTTCAGTTCAGTTCAGTTCAGCTCCTAATTTTCTTCTCTCATAAAATATTCATTTTAGCTCTATTCAGTTCAGTTCAGTTCATCTCCAATCAGTTCAGCTCCAATGAGTTCAATTCAGTAAATGTGAACGGGTCCTAAAACTACATCTACATGTAAGACCATATGAGTGTTTTAAAAATTCAATGATAAATTAGTATAAAATTTTCTTGTTATTAATCAAATATGTATTACACGTAATGGGCAGGAATGATAATATAACTCTGTTTTGATATTTAGTCTATTTTTTTCCTAAATTATGATACTATATATATGAAAGTATTGGAGATACAAATACAAAAATTTAATCAAATTATTTTACATGATTATAGATAAAGTGTTTATAATGTTATGCTATGTTGCTAAAATCAAAATTCTTATTTAATAATACATCATTTAAATTATATTAATCAATAAAATGAAAAAAATTATTGTGTATTAAAGATTTTTCATACAAAGTAATATTTATGGAAAACAGAGTAATAACAACTAAAAAGAATATATTTACTATACAAGATACGTATAAAATATTTAAATATAATAGTTATATTATACCAAACTTCTCAAAGAAGATTTTAGCAAAAAAGGGAAGGTTTTTTTTTTTTTTTGAGGGAAAAAACTACACCAGAAAGTGACACATGTCATTCTTGATGTCTATTTTAGTATTATGTTATTGATGTTCTGTTTTTATGAAGCCTCGTTTACATATAATGTTCGTTCTTTATTTTATATGTAATGTTCATTTCACCCATTCATTTTCTCTCTCTTCGATATTCTCTCTCTCCTCTCCCTCTAACTTCTTCCATTTTATTTTTTGATTTTTATAGCTTTTATGTGTTTAATTCATCACTTACAAACACATTTTTAATAGATTTTACACTCCAAAATCCGAATTTCACAACCAAAATTTTGGTTTTTTCATGATTTGAGAATTTTGGGTATTTTTGATTTTGGCTTAAAAAAAAACCTTGCAATTGAGGGTTCTACTTGCTTAATTTATTAATTCACTTTATAAGGGTGTTCTACTCATTTGATGTATGACTTCTCTTACTTTGTTCATCTTTTTTCTACTTCATGAGTATAAAACCCTATGATGTGCTTCAATGGTGAACACTCTTTGCGAGTTATTTTCACCTATATTTTGTGTTTTGTGATAATGTTTGTTGTTCATATATAAAGCTTTATTATCATGAAATTACTTGATTGTTTGACCTTTTGGCACTACCATTGTTGTTCATCATATTCTTCCATGGGCTTGGTAGTAGCATTTTCCATTATGTATATGTAATAATGTTCAATTTAATAAAGATAATGTTATTTTATTTTTATATGTAATGTTCATTTATTTATAAGTTATGTTCCTTTTTTTTTTTTTTTGAAGAAAATAAGTATGTTCTTTTATTATAAGTAAAGTTCATTATTTTATATGTAACGTTCTTTTTATTGTACTCTATCTTCGTTTGTAATGTATAATAAATTGTTATAACTACAATTTTTATTTATTTATAAGTAATATTCTTTTATTTATATGTAATGTTATGTTATTTATAGGCAATGTTCTTTTATTTATATGTAATTTTCTTCTATTTAAGGTAATGTTCTTTTATTCATAGGGTGATATTCTTCCGACGCATAATACACCCGGGTATACGAAACAATTATTGCAATCATATCCTTTAGGGCTGAGCAAAACTACCCGAAACACCGAAAACCCGAAAAACCGATCCGAAACCGTTCCGAAAATTAGGGTACCCGATCCGATAACCATAACGGTTCGGGTACCCATTCCGATAATTTGTTATCGGGTATGGTTATGGGTATCATTTTAAAATTAACGGTTACCCGATCCGATCCGATAAACATTTTTTTGCTTTTTTTTTCCCTACTTAAATCTATTAATATAAATCTAAACTTTTACTTTACTTCATAATCACTTTATAATATCAATGATTAGTAATATTATTAATAATTTGGTCAAGATCATATGGTATTGTTGTTAATTAGTTGTAAATTATATCATAATAACTACACAATTAAGTTTAATTATCATTATTGGATATCTTGTTGGGTACCCGATAACTGATCCGAAATTCCGGGTACTCGAAGTCCGGGTACCCGAACTTATCGGTTCCGGTTATGGGTATCACTTTTAGTGATTTTGGTTATCAGGTACCCGAACTGTTAGTACTAACGGCGGTACGGGTACCCGTCCCATACTCACCCCTAATATCCTTTACATTAAATAAAAATAAAATAAAGATTTTTTTTTGTGTGTGTGTTTAGAGAGCCACAAGGACAAGTGATGAGAATCGATCCCAAGATCTCTTGAAATCGGGAGGAAATCTCTAACCACTTGAACTATTTCTCACTCTCGGCCCCCTAGTTAATACTACTGTTGTAATAATTAAGGAAAATAGTATGCATAAAGATAAAAATGTTATCGACTAATAGCTATTACATAATTTACGTTTTCTTTAACGTGTAATTTTAAAATATATGAATTATCAATTATGATGTTTATAAATTTTATTAGGCTAAAATGAAACTAAATTACAAATATTAATACTGTACGAGTAGTTTTTTAGCCAATAAAATATTCCATGTCTGACATGTACGACAGTTTTGAAAAGAAATAAATGAAGAAAATGCGAATATATTTGTTGAGTTACTTTGCATGATTAATATTATGTATAAATTACTCCCTCCGTCCCTAAATTTCATTCCTATTTTTAAGTCTCATAAATTTACATTTCATACTTTGCAAAATAGTGGAATTTAGCTACTAATAGTAAAACAATAGTAGAGAGTTTAATTGGTGGAAAGTGAATGAAGAAATAAGATAGTGAGCTTTTTGTTGATTAAAATTGAATATGGAATTAGATAAAGGTAGAATTAAACTTATATCTCGGGATTAGATTTTTAGGAAAAATGAGTCTTTAATTGAAGGTGTAACATTTTGATTTTTGTATGCTTGACCCATGCTACTAAAGATTTTTGGTTTTAATTGACAAGGAGAAGTATAAAAACCAAATAACCATTGATAGTCAATCTTTACATGTACTATAATTTTTATTGCCTCAATTGTTGTTATAAATATCCTTTAATTTATTTGATGGATTACATGCTTACATCTATAGTCATGGTTCAAGTGAGGGATGGTTCAAATGGTTAGAGTTAATCTCCCGAATTCAGAATATCTTGGAATCGATTTTTATCCTGCCCTCGTGGCTCTTTGGGAAAAAAAAATTCTATAGTCATGGTGGCATTTTGTTAATTGCAATTATTAATTGGAGCTATTTAATTCGATTGTTCAATTCACAAAATTAAATTAAGCGTTAAGCTAATTAAGTTTTATAAATGTAATAACTAGTATGTTTAGTGCACTTGATCTGATTTATAAATGTAATAACTAGTATCAATTGGATAGGAAAATTAACAAATAACAACTATGTTAACATAATTTGTAAATTTATTCTTATTTGAAGAAATGGAATACACGAAAATATGGTTCACCAAATCAAGCATGATCGAGCTTAAGAAACCCTAAACTGAAGACATGGTTTTTTGTAATGTGTTGCGAACATCAACGACGAACCGATATCTAACATCACCCATGGAAAGACGATCCATGGCCGTGTTTATGTAATCCATCGGAATCACTTCAATATCTGCTTTAATGTTATGTTTTGCTGCAAAATCCAACATTTCTTGTGTTTCTTTCATCCCTCCAATTCCACTTCCAGCTATCATCTTCCTTCCTGTTAATTTGGAGTTGACCATATTAGTTAATTGTATTTTATGTAGGAGAACTAACTTTCTTGCATTGCATTATTGCTTAACCTTTTTTATTTATTTTTTTTTATTTTATTTTTTTTTTTTGGTGAAGGAGAGGGGCAAAGCCCCAAAAGGCAAATAAGAAAATAAAGAAACAAAAATTAAAAAAAAAAAAAATCTATTTTAATTAACACTACAAAATTCTATTAAAATTTACTTGTATAAAATATGGTTACAATAGATTGGCTTTTTTTTTTTTTTTTTTTTTTTTTTTTTTTGAGGAAATACAATATATATCAGCCTTTAGAAATACTACAAATAAGCATTTTTTTTCATATTCTTTTTCTTTAATGAAAAAAAGACATTTTATATATTCTTAAATTGGTATTATAATTTGAAAAAAAAAAGACAAAATCAAGTGTTGATTGGTGAAATTAATATTTTATTCATTTTTATGATGACTTTATACTCCAGAAAAAATTACTCTGTAATTAATTGTATAATAAGTTTCAATTAGTAATTTTTTTTAATAAAAAAAATATAATCAGTAGATGGGAGTATTAGTTGTAATTACTTTTCTTATATCTCGTGAAATAAAATATTATCTCGTGACATTAGTACGAGTAACATAATATACTCAGTATTAAAGTAATTTTGATCATTAATTTAGTCATGTAAAGAAAATGGTCTTCACCAAAAAAAAAAAAATGTAAAGTAAATGGAGCTTTTATAGTACTCATGTCTTTAATTTTGTCCATAATTGCTCTAAATAACGGAAGACAATATATACTACATAGATACTCCGTAATAAAGTGGACTTGTTTCCAAAAAAAAAAAAAAAGAAAAGAATGTGGACTAATGAACTATGCATTTTAATTAATGGAACAATACTTGGGTTTTTTTTTTTTTTTTTTTTTTTTTTTTTTTTTTTTTTTTTTTAAGGAATCCAGATTTTATCAAATGCATTTTTATTAATTGAGTTATTTTTATCAATGCATTTTTATCAATGGAACAATATTAGTTACTTCACAAAAAAAATATTAGTTACTTCATCTCTAATTGGTAAATTAATTAAAAATTAAATTACGTGAAATTAAATCATCCACTAGTATATGTTCTCTTTAGATTATTTTCAGTTCAGTACAGTTCCAATTAGTTCAGTTTAGCTGAGTTCAATCAATCAAAAAAAGCCCATAATTACCACGAGAGCATAATAAATAATTTTTTAGTGTATGTTTAGAGAGCCACAAAGAGGTGGATGATGAGAATATATCGATTCAATGATATCTCCGCCTGAAATTAAGAGGGAAACTCTAACAACTTGAGTATTGAAAAGTGAGAGCATATAATGGAATTGTAGAACACAATATAGAGATGGACATTAGTGGTACAATTATAAGTAGACTCCTAAATCCCTAATGTCGTATATTACTAATAATATGTAAGTCCTACAATCATAACAAAGTAACTCTTATAACAGTAACTTGAATAACTCCATAATTCATAGCAATTATAATGCGTATGTAGTTGAATAAAGTAATGTATGATTACCTCCTAGCAAAGTGAAGATGGGCACTTGGAGAGGCATTTGGGGTACACCAACCACAATAAGCTTTCCATGAGACTTAAGTAAGTGAAGTAGAGTCTCGATTGAATGATCAGCGGACACGGTGTCGATGATCCCGTCCATAGTGCTCATTGCTGCCTACATTTGTGCCACATTATTTTTACTAGTGACTTATGACATCTTCATTTCCTTTTAGTACTTTAGTAGTCCACCATGTTATGCAATCTTTATCTTTTTTGTTATACTACTTTTAATAAATTCATTACATAATGGTGCTTTTTATATATATACTAAATTAGACAATACTATAATAATACCTCACATATCTATCTTCATAAGATATAATTTCTCCTTGACATGTGAATGGTGTCAAATGTATGAATTATGGACCTAACTCAACTATTTGGCATGCATGTTAAATAATACGACATAGAACATATATGTTGCAAGATAAGATGATAACAAAACAAATTATGGGTTTAAAAAACGAAAGTATGATTTTATGATTATTTGTCCTTTATAAGGGTATGACCCGTAGGGTGAATATTTTATTAAACCATACTATTCTATATACAGAGTACCTTTTAATTAGTAAATCTATTTACATCCAATCCTAGCCTTCTACTACTCAAATTAAGTTAGACTATTAGCGGACTTTCAAAAAATCGATAGCAAGAGATTACTCCAAGAGAAAATTTTACAATTACTTATATAATTAAATAATATGCATTATAATCTATTAAATAAGCTCTATGCAAATTATTTTACTTCCTCCTTTTTTTAGTTGTTTCATTATCACTTTTGACACACTATTTACTAAATTTACACTAGGTCAATGTTTTGTTTCTCATAATTTAATGAAAATCAAATACTATCTTCGTTAATTTGAGTTGCAACTTTAGGGTATAATTTGTAAGATATAAAATATTACAAAGTTGTAACTAAAAGTTAATGGAGGTAGTATATGTTCTTGCAAAACCTTGTTAAATTCATATGTGTGGATAGATATACTTTAGCAATGTACTTATATTTAAAAGTCAAAATTATAGTCAAGTCACAAAAGAGTCAAGTCAAAATGAAACAACTAAAATAGTAAATAATTACAGTACCTGTAATTGATCTTGATCATGACTATTCAAAAAAAGGTCAGCACCAAAACGTTCCAAAGCTTCCTTACACTTGCTAGGAGAAGTACTAATAACAGTAACCTTTAAACCAAATGCTTTTGCAAATTTCACAGCCAGATGACCAAGCCCTCCAAGTCCCACAACCCCTACATGCTTTCCTCTTGCATCAAGCTCGAAATACCTCAACGCGCTATACACCGTGATTCCGGCACAAAGTAGTGGCGCACTCGTGTCGAGGGGAAGATCATCGGGGATTCGAACAACGTAATGTTGGTCCGCCACCATTTCATTGGAGTAGCCACCGTAAGTTGTGGTTCCATCATAGTATTTGCCAGAGTAAGTGAGGATCATATTAGGGCAGTAATTTTCAAGGTTTTTAGCGCATGACTCGCATGTGCGACATGAGCCAATCATGCATCCTACCCCAACTTTGTCTCCGACTTTAAATTTTGTGACGTTGGTGCCAATTTCAGTCACCACTCCCACAATCTCGTGCCTTATTGAATTTTAAATGATCAAAGATTAAATGCTTAGAGCTTTTTAGTAAAACGTAAAATAATCTAGGAACGACTAAATATAATCTAAAACCAAGTACATAGTGCTCGTATCAATCTCGTGCCTTATTGAATTTTAAACGATTAAAGGTATAAATGTTTGTTTTATGGAGTATTATTTTTTTAACTTACATATATGTATTGAATTATTTCTTCACCAAAAAAAAAAAAAAAAAAATGTATTGAATTATTTATGTCAAAATCTTTTCAGTAAACATACATGATAGAAGCTAAGACAATGTTGAGTAAACATACTCAAAACTAAACGTTTAAATTAATTCATCAAATGGACACTGTCTAAATTTAGGCTGTTAAACATGGTTAATAAAAGTAATAAATAACATAAATAGTATACTGATAATAATTACCCGGGAACAAGTGGGTATGAAGATATGCCCCAATGATTTTTGAGAAAATGAAGATCTGTATGGCATATTCCACAGTACATCACCTTAAATCTCACATCCTCTTCTCCTGTCATCCTACATTCATTTTTGAAATTTTAAATTATACCAAGTATTCCATTTGTAGAGAGAAAACTTTGACTATGATTATTTATCGATAATTTTTTCTGTGTAATTTTAAATTAGTTACTATAATTTTTCTTGATGTGTAACATTAAATTAGTTATATTTTCAAGTAATATAACTCTAGTTTTATTTTTTTATTTTTTTTATCGCGCCATTATAAATCATAAAAAATGAAAGATGTACACATACGAATGTTTTATAGTGCACACGTTAGCTAGGGCCTAGGGGGGTATGTATGTACCTTCTAGAGAAGTAGAAGGGAGATAAAATTCCGGACTCGTCTCGAGCTGCCCATCCGTAAGTCTTTACTGGATGTACGGAGGCCTCTTGTTCTTCTACATATTCAGAGTTTGCCATTGTTGAATGAAAGGTGAACGAATGCAAGCGTACGGGCTAAGAAGGATACTTTTCTATTTTGTAACAAATAAATTGACACTAGAGTGAGAGCTAGTACTGGTAATACATACCACTCTAACTATATAGATAAATATATCTAGTCTAGGATTAAAAACTAGATTATGCACAAATCATGTATGTGCGTGATATGCTTTTAGACAATATCTTATGTTATGTCTTTTTGAAAAGGTTATTGGTATTTACATAAACTCCACTCTTAGTTGTCCCACCGACCTTCTCCTGTAGTTGTATGTTTTGAGCCTAACTTGATTGTCTCTTTGAACAATATCATGAGTCATTTGAGATTTAACTATTCAACTCTAAATTAAAATCCATCCCAAAAATTACACAAAGTTGTGACTTTTTGTATTATTCGCATGCTCTATTTTGAACTTTTTATTTTTTTGTAAATATATTTTTTTTGGTGTTTCACCCGGTTTATTTTTTAGACTAATCCAAATTCGAGGATCAGTTTTGGATGGTTAGGTTTCATTTTTCTCCCAATTAATGTTGCGTGGGATCAAATACTCAATCCTCTCTAACAAGCGTAGCCTCAATCATCACCAGTACACCAATTGTCAATTGGTCTTTTTTCAAATTTATGAAAGTAAATATTACTCCTACAAAGTATATGTAAGATATTTTTAGGGCTATACATCATATTTTCTAAATATTATAATTTTTTTAACATATAATAATATACATTAAAGATCATTGTAAAACAGTCAAAAAAATTGCAATTGATTTGCGACAGATATAGATGTAATAAAAACAAATTTAATTTTCTTTCAAAAAAAAAAAAAAAAATTTTAGGTTAGAAAACATGATAATTCATAGGCGTTGACCTTTGAGATCCATTATATGTGGAGGATGCTAGCCATTGTTATTGATTAGGTGGATGTTTGTGGGTTATTTCCTTTGTCTTTTATGTTCTACTTCCTATAAATGCAATCATTGATCCAACTAACTAGAACATTCCACTTGGCTAGTTCATATATCTTGTGCCTCGTGGCATGAGTAATTGGTTTTTTTTTTTTTTTTTTTTTTTTTTTTTTTTTTTTTTTTTTTTAAGGGATAATATGTCGTTAAAAAAATAGATTATATTACTTGTATCAATGTAGTCATCATTTATATGGTGTTACCAGATTGAATATTTTATGGTTGTCATCTTTAAAATGACTATCATTATACTAACTAGATTAAGGGTCTGTTCTCATTGACTGAACTCAACTGAACTAAATTGAACTGCACTGAGCTGAGCTGAGCTGAAGTGAACTGAATTTCAACGTATGAGAATAGGTCCTAAGAGTATGTTCACATTTACTGAATTGAGTTGAACTGAACTTATTGGAGCTGAACTGAACTTAACTGATTGTAGTTGAACTAAGGTGAAATGAATATTTTATGAGAGAGGAAAATTAGGAGCTGAATTGAACTGAACTGAACTGATTAGATCTGAACCGAATTGAACTGATTGGAGTTAAACTGAACTGAAATTAAGTAAATGTGAACATGTCCTAAGTCCTGTGTCACACCCGGTTTTCACAAAATTTTATAATGAATTATAATGTTAATTCAAAATCTACAAATAAATAATCCTCATATTTTTTTGGAAAATTTGTAAATTACAACCCAAAAAGGGGTCCTATTTTGAAATTACCACCCATTAAAACTTTTATTTTAAATTACAACCCCTTAAATAAAAAAAAGTTTTCAGATTACCACCTTTTTTAGATTTTCGGTGGAATTTCCGTTTGAGGGCCCCACATTATTAACTTCCCGTAGACATCTACTTTTGGCCTCTTGTCCCGAAAGGAAGTGCGATGATGTTACAAAAATTCGTTCTTCATGTTAGATCAAAGTTGAAGTGTTTATGGACTGTGAAAAGAATTATGAAGTAAGTTAAAACCCATATTTGAGACCAATTTATCTTAGAGCCTTGTCCGATTACTAATTAGGCCTAAAACATGTTCATACATGTTTAAACTTGATTAATAACAGACCCAAATACGTCAAATGCAATGATTGGATCCAATGGAACCTACATTGTTGAAAAACCGAGCCAAACAGATAAACCAACTATCGAATTCCCATTCAAGGACTATAAATATGGATAACCCTTTCAAAGATCTTTCCAACGGTATATTATAAGCCCAATTCCGAGCCAAAACAAAGAAGTTATGATCAAAACACTAAAACGATCCCTAAAACCGTTACCCTTTCACCCCAACGGCCATAACTTCTAATCCATAAAATATTTTAACCTAATTATAATGGAATTGTAAAGTAGACATTTAGATCTTTCCAATGATATCTCACACGCCTTAATCCAACTCCGCAATCAAAAGTTATGGAAGTTTTAAAAACGCGCTTTCGTATAAGGCAAACTGCAAACTAGCGCAACTCAATCAGTTGCTCGCGCCTGGCGCGCGCGACTCATTGAGATGCGCGCGGCACCCAGCGCGACTCAGAGAGTTGCGCGCACCACCTAACGGCGCGGCTCTAAAACCCTAAACTTATATCCCTGCTCCTATAAATAGGGGTCTTTGTTCAGCATTACGGGGACCGGAAAAATCAGAATTAAAACCCTATTATTCTCAAAACCCTAATCTCTCTACTTCTCTTACTATCATACTACTTTTCCCTCTTTCTTCCTAACTACTCTTCAACCTTAATCCATCCATTGAAGCTCTTGAAGGTACGAAGAAGAAAGAAAGTCCATAAGCACATGAAACGGAGATTTAACATAAAAGAAGAACGGTTAGTTTCCTGAGCACTTAGATAAATCACTTTCCCTTTATTGTTTAAATAAATTTAATTGAATAAATAGTGTTGTTTGATCACTTTAAACAAACTTTTAGTTAATTAATTCACATATTATTCTTTTGTTTTACAAGCATTTATCACGTAGGAATTACTTAAGACAAGGCAAATATTGTTTATTTTGTTCTTTTCACGAATATTGATTAAACAAAGAATAACGACTTTTGCGATGTAATTCCTACGTGATAAATTCTTGTAAATAAAATCAACAAACTTAGTCTTTAGGTATCACGTTGCATATATTGTTTGGTAATGAATTTGTGAAAAAAGAAGAGCTAGTAGAGGTCGTACTAGGGCTAGAATAGCGATTCCTCCCTAAAAGGAAGGTTATTTTAGTACCCTCGCTCCCGAACTCATTTCTGGTTTATTTAGACCAATTTGGGCATGGGTAAACTTACGATTCGTGCTAATTATTCCATGAACTCCACATGGAAGAAAGGCATGAACGAGGTTTATGAGTTTTTCTAAAACTCATTGGCGACTCCTACTTGTTTCTTACAAAAAAGTGTGATGAGAGTATCATATCATTTCTGATTCAAGGTCTCCCAAATAGTTAGAAATTCAAATCCTAATACACCCTAACAAGTGTAAAGTCCTAGGCTTTTAAATGGCCATGGGCATCTAAGGAAGGACCCTCTACGATGGGATCACCCTCCTTACACTTCCCTCCTTTTTTTATCTTCCTTTCCCTCGACCTAACCTTCAGATTGTTATATTAAACTCAAAAACAACTTCTCTCATCAATTCCTTAAATTAATTCATCCAAAAGCATCAATCTTTTCCCTCTTTCTTTAATTCTCTGTCAAATTCGCAACTACCCCTAAAGGGTTGAATCAAAACCCTAACCTTTTTTTCCTGCAAATTGAATGCTTTATTCTCCTCCATTTCTGCAAGACATAATCCAAAAACAAAAAAGGATCTAGCTTACAACTTTATTCAACAATTAATCATTCAAATCTTTCATTGACAAAACACAACACATAATATACAATTATTCAACATAATAAACAATTATTAACAAAATTGGACAACATCAAGTTGAATCAACAGAGAACTATCTGAAATGCCCAATTAATTTCAGAAAGGTAGCCTAATTGCAAAAAAAAAAAAAAAAAAAAAAAAAAAAAAAAAAAAAAAAAAAAAAAAACCAATTTAATTGCCCTTGGAAACCTAATTCCTAAATTGGCAAAAGAAAACCCTAAATTATGAACTTGTGGATTCATACCTTAGATGCGAATTGAGAGTATGAACTTCAGTGGATAAATTCTTCACATAATTCAGCTGAAAGTTGAGGAAATTTGGTTGAAATTGGGACAAAAAGTTGTGATTTGAAGTTGGAGAATTTATAAACAAAAAAAAAATCGGGGAGAGAGAGTCAAAAGAGTCAAATTAGCCGTTATGTGGGGCCCTCAAACGGAAGTTCCACCAGAAATCCAAAAAAAATGTGGTAATCTTCACTTTTTTAATTTAAGGGGTGGTAATTTAAAATAAAATTTTTAACGGGTGGTAATTTCAATATAGGACCCCTTTTTTGGTGGTAATTTACAATTTTCCTATTTTTTTAATGAAATTAAAAAAAAAGTTTGAATTTTAACTTATACTCAGAATTGGGCCCCAAAGTCGGATTAGCCTAAAGGATGAAACAAGCTGAGTAAAACACCAAAAAAAGGGGGGGGGGCAAATACAAGTTTATCTGCTAAATAAACGGATTTTGTTAATCTGATGGCATTTTTGTAATTATATTGAAAAAGCGTGGTCATTTATTCAGTACTTTTGGTAAGCTATCCAATTACTATTTGCAACTTGCTTTTACTGTTTGGTGAGGTAATTACACATGTACCCCTCAACTAGTACATGAAAAGACACATTTACCCCTCCACTGGTACTTAAAAAGACGATTATACCCCTAGATAAACAAAATTTGTTTATCAGGTGAATTAACTGGGTACAGCTCAAAAAAAAAAAGTAAAAGAAATAGAATACGGCGGAGTAACATTTTATACAATAAAAGATATGAAAAATATGTGAATATTTTCTTTAGGAAGTGAATCATAATTATATGATTTGGTGAAATTTTTTTAAGGAAGTAAATTATAATTATATGAAGAAGTGAATACTTTTTTTATGAAATGAATAAAAAAAAGTTTTGGAGGGAAAAAATAGAACCAAAAAATGACACATGTTATTCTTAGTGTCTGTTTTAGTATTAAGTTATTGATTTTATGAGAGTGTAAAATCCATGAGAGTGAAGGACAGCTCAAGTGGTTCGAGATTCTTTCTCAATTTCAGAAGACCATGTGATCGATCTTGTTTAGAGAGCCATTAAGGCGAGGTGAGGATCGATTATACAATTAATGATCAAATTATAACTGTCTTATTTTAATTTGGAAAATTTGTCAGGGACAACCTTTTATAAAGCAATTTTTGTCTGGGACAACCTTATAAATTTTTTTTGGCAAAGTCAGACCACTTAAAAAAAAAATTGTAAAGGGAGACCAATCCCCAGGCCATTGACCACTGGATTCCAGCGTTGACTCCCACGTGGCTCCTCTTTTCTTCTAATTACACCCCTTTTCCCTCCAATTTTGTCACATAAAAACCCCTCCCCCCACCAGCCATACCACCTTCCTTGCCGCCACCCCTGCCAACGATCGACAACGCTGGAGGTCTCCGACGCCTAGCTGACCTTTCCCCTCCATTTTCCCCTTACCCCGACCTTCCCCTTTACCCGCCGCGCGACCACCAAACGTCCAAGTGAAACCCTAACCCTTTCAACCCATCCCCTTCTTTCACCACCATGACCCGACCCCTTGAGCTGCAATGCTATGCGCGGATGCTGGTGTAAGGGTTGCTAAGCTGCGATGATGATACTTACTGTGCTGATGCTTGTGCGTGGCTGCTACGATGGTATATTTAAAAGTTGCTTGGTGCGTTTGCAAGGAGCTCCGGAGCTCGGGCAACGGCAATGGTCGTGGGCATAGGGTTAGGGGAAAGGAAGGGGTGGGTAGCCTTGGAGAGTGGTGAAGCTGGGTTCCACGTGGATCGGTCACCGCGGAGGGTGGTGGAGCAAAAGTTGGGCGTGGAATGGCTGGGGCTGCTAGTGGTGGTAGGTTTAATTAGAAGAAAAGGGGTATAATTAGAAGAAAAGAGGAGCACATGCTAGTCACTTGGGAGTCAACACCGGAATCCGGTGGTCAATGGCTTGAAAGTGGGGGTTGGTCTCCCTTTACAAAATTTTTTTTAAGTGGTCTGACTTTGCCAAAAAAAATTATAAGGTTGTCCCAGACAAAAATTGCTTTATAAAAGGTTGTCCCCGACAAATTTACCTTTTAATTTTTACAACATTAATTTGCTTATATTATCTTATTTATTGTTTATTTTTTCCCTTCCGCTACAGATTTGCAGGCTGTAGCTAGGCCAAAATTTGGAAAAAGACATGTTATGACTTATGACACATTTTATTTAGCTCTATGCATCTAGTACATCTTTTTACTAGCTAGTTAATAAACTATATATACAAATTCTAGACTATGTAAATGCCTTTTCCATCTAAAAACCCCTACCAAGTAAAATAGACAAATACATAACTAAACAAATCATACAATTTGCTTACAATGTTGAACATGATCAGTGAGTAATTGACCATATTCAATCTATAGACCTTGTGAAATCATAAATCAAGTTGTTCGAGGGGGGCCTTCGAAACGAATATAATCATACATGACTCCGAAGAAAGGCGATTCATGTTTAGCTTGCGTCAGATATATGGTATTGTTCCCAGCACGTAGCCATTCGCTTGGAACATCAACATTTAATAGTCTATACAACCCATGGATACCATGTCTAGCAATCGCGTTATCTGTGCCCATTACCATGGTTGTAAAATGGGGAATACTCACCTCTGGATCATTAAATCGTACCTAAGAAAACCATAAAAGCGGTATTAATATGGCAAGACCAACTTGTGTTAGCATATACAAGAAAAGTGAAAGGCGGTGGTTGTTTCCTACTTGCAATTCTGCTCTAGTGGTTGAAGCCAAAGCTATTCGTAGAGTATAGTTTGAGGATGGGATCACATCTTGAAGCGCGAATATAATCTGCCATGTAGTAGGTTTAAATGTATTATTTCCTGTTCTCCTGCAATTTGTAGACGTATGTGTTAAATTTCTATCCAAAACAACCAAAACCAACATGTTCAAGTGATCAAGCTGAATGATTTACCTAGTGACTTGGGCGAAAAACCAGTCTCTATGATAATCACTTTCACCAACAGTGTATATGAGATCGTTGTCAGGATACAGTTCAGCATATCTTTCCCAAAGACCATATTGCCTGAATCTGTCGAATCAAAAATATTCTTTATAAGTGAATGAGCTTTTTGAGAGATTGATAGAGGTAACTAGGATAAATGAGTAGCAACTGAAGAGCTTACTTGTTATGATCACTATCGGTGTAAAGTTTGTTTACAAATAAGCTATTTGGCTGAGGAACATAAAACTCCAATGCAGTGCGGTCTGGAAAGCCTATTTGCCAAAATGTCGGTCCATTTCTCAGAGGCTCATACACAAGATCACCTAATTGGATTACGGAACCTGGCGTTGAGAAAAAGAAATCTCAATTATTATCTACTCGGGTCATCCAAATTTTGGACAAAATTTGATCCAAATTGTTAAAGCATTTAACTAAAGGTTCGTTTGGCATTATTGCGGTTTTCAGTTTTTTGGTTTTTTGTATTTTAAAAGTGTATGATATATGTAATGTAATGAATAAAAATTAGTCAAACTTATTAAAATCATGCTAATTTTGAAAACTGGCAACAAAAAAGTGAAAACACCTTTTTCTTGTTTCTTGTTTTTGGTTTTTTGTTTTTAAAAAAACTAAAAGCTCAAAACAATAAACAATGCCAAACAAGCCCTAAATAAGCTAATTGACATCTACAGGATCAAAAGTCGTAGTAAAAGACCTGGAACAATTCTGATGTCTTCAATATATACGTAATCTCCAATGAAACCAGGAACCCATGCAAACAAGTTGTAAACACCTTCACGAATGCCCTTGATTATAAAACCTCCATTACGATCTGCTCGAGTCCAAAACTGATAACCCTGATAAAAATAATTCAAAATTATTCCTATTTCAATTTTCTACATTGCTGATTCATAAAAGTTGAGCAATTGGTAATTCCTTGTCCAAATTTCTACCTTTGTTTCGGTTTGCCAAGATCCTGCTTCACCGGGTGCAGCAAGTCCAATCCAAGCATAACTCCCAGCCATCATTGTCCTCATTTTATACCTGGGATAAGGAATGATATTACAATAATCATATAAAATTAAATTAATGTAAAAATATTTGTGATAACAATTGAAACAAAAGAAAGAGCTACATGACACAAACCTTTCATGGATTAACAACCGACCAAACACAAAACCGCGCTCAACAGACTTAGGGAAGTCTTTGGATAATGGGAATTCGTAAGGCCAGCTTCTAGTTTCTTGTGTCATCTGCTTAAAAAATCCGCTGTCAAAGGCAGTAATATAAAATTAAACACCATAAACAGAGAGATGAATATAGTATTTACCTGGTGCTTTGCATCATTCCAGAGATCATGGAAATCTCTATCTAAAGAAACTGAATTCAGATGAACATAATAAGGCCCAAACACCTTTTTCCATGGTTCCCCTTCTTGGAACGACATGGTCACATCATAACCAGCATAGTGTGCACTGTGAAACATCTGTTACAGAGAAATTTAATATCTTATAGATGTAACTCAAAAGTTTATCCAGGGTACGAATTTTCCATTATGATTTTGAATTACTGATAAAGGATACTCACAGCTAATGAAGTTGGACCGACATGGGATGTGAGATCTTGCTTGACAGGTCCTGCTGAACGAAACTCATTGCTCGGAGTAATAATCCAGAACCCGACTTGTGGATCAAATGATATCCAACCATGCACCTTATTGTCCTTATCCTCACATGAGTACTGGTACTTATCATCCACCTGGTGTTCATTTGCCAAACATAACATTTAAAGGTTTCACAATAGAGAGCAATTGGTCAAAATCTATATTGGTAATTTCCTTCGAATACCTCGCCTCTCAAATCTGGATTAGTGGGATTGGTCAAAAGCACAGCCTCCTTAAAGGCAAGGGGCAGGCCGGATTCGCGATCCTCTGGCATAGGCATGATCCGTTGCCTATCATCAGAGATAGCCATATAATGAAACCTGTAAAACAAATTCCAAAGTACTAAAATTCATCATACTCGCCATCACTCAAAATAACCTTGTCAGATTAAGCAATTCCAATGAGTCAAGCTACATATCTACTTTGAAACTGTTTATGCTTTTTTGATACAAAATGCAGTGGAATTCAGTACAAGTGATATTGCATTAATACCTTGATTGATCAAGCTTATACACAGTCCTGATTTGGAAGATATTTGCTGCAGGCATTCCTTCTTCGCGGTCCAAAATAGCATATGCATAGAACCCGGAGGATCCTCGAAGCACTATATACCTGATAATAAATTTGCACACAAATATCATGTATCACTTTGTTGAATTCCAAAGAAAATGTGTACTAGTTGTTTGTTAGATCATATCTATACCTTCTATCTACATTGGCAGGTATTCTCCAAACTTCTGATTTGTTCCATGTAGTTGAATCCCATTCATATGTAAATGAAACTTCAACTTGATCCTCATTTTCTACTATCACATTTAATTTCGATCCGAGTAACCTGAATTACACATAGTTTAGATAAGAAAATTTCCTTAAAATTATGCTGTAAATGAAGAGAAAATATTACAGTTAAGTAGTTGACAATTTACCAGTCAGTGCCAGAGTAACCTTTTGTATCCCAAACTACATCCCAATACCTATATGAAAACATCAATTTTAACATTAGAGTAACATCGCATTTATATAAAAATCTTACATTTAACATATTAAATAATGTAATTACAAAGCAGGTAAATGGATTAATAAATTTGTTCCAAAAAAAAAATGATCTTTAAATAACACTCCCTCCTTCAGAATTTAGTAGACTAATTTTATACTACCTCATTTAAATGTTATGTGTAACTTTGGAGTATTATTTATGAGATATAAAATATTCCAAAGTTGCACTTAACATTTAACGGAGATATTAGATCAAATTACGCAGGTATAACTATCGACAGAGTAATGAAGTGTTGTTTTGTAATTGAGAGCAATACAGGTGGCGCATACCCTCTATTTGATTCGTGGTTACGATTTTCAAGCACATTGTGCACTCCACCGTAGCTAACTCCTATCAAATAGCCTTCAGGATTTGCAATTGTGAGTTGCAAAATTCCATTGTCAATCACCACCTGAAACAAATGATTAAGCTGATAAAAATCGACTCGTATGGTGTAAATACGTTCGTGAGTCAAATTGAACTTATAAAATTAGGAAGTGCAGCAAAGTTCATATCTAGGGAAAAAGAATGGAAAATGGATAAATAGACATTATACAAATCTAATAAGATGTCATTACCTTACCAGCTTGAAAACCCACCCCAACACCAATCTAAAAAACCCACAACAATTAAAAAAAAAATGAAGTATTCATAATTGAATTTAATCTTTAAAACCTCAATTGTAGCATTGTGATGAATCAATTAGAGAAGGAAAGAGGAGAGCGGTGGCGAGGTGGTAGGAAGGTGGCGACGCCTCTGCGGGGTGGAGACGACTAGAGGCGGTGGTGTGATTGGTGGTGGCACCATGCAAGTGAGTGTGAAGTGTGGTCACTGACTCACTGTGGTGTACAAGGTGGGCTGAAGCCTGAACGGTAAAAGAGGAATTTGGAATTTCCTTTGTGTTTTAATAAAAAGTTAGGCTATACTTCTAAACTAGATTAGGTTCAATCCGGGACCGACCGAACACAACCCGGTTTACTCAGGGATATCAACTACCAAGTCACTTCAACTTGTGAAAACTGACCCAATTCGCGCAACCCACCTAGGATTGCTTATGATACGAGTCGAGTTCGAGTTTGGGGTTCTCTCGACTAGACTCGACTTGTTAACATATCGAGTCGAGCTTAATCGAGTTTTGACCGAGTCAAGATTTGACCGAACCGATCTCAAATAGCTTGCTAATTGATTCGGTCTTAGTAGTACCCTATTTAGTGTAATATTTATTTATTCTCTTAAATTTTGTACTATAAGAAATATACTTTTTTTTAACAACGAAAGAGACAAAATATTACATTAGATGATTATGGCCATCTAGAGAAACCAAAGTTTGAAAACAAAAGAAAGGGTCAGGCTGCCAATAGTTGGAAAAGAGGTAGCCATAAGCCTTACCCAAGCCGATACTATAAAGCATTAAAAACAAAGCATAAAAAGGAAAGATAAAAGCAGTAGGAGTGATGGAGCCCAAACAAGGCCCATAATAGTCTTCAAAGAGCCCACTATTATCAACTAATGTTGTAAAATAAAGTTTTTGAATCAAAATATATTTTTTTATTAAATATAATAATGTATAAAGAAATCCGAGTTTTTCACGAGTTTTCGAGAATACTCGACTCGATTCATTAACATTTTGAGTCAATCTCTCGAGCTCGATTCAAGCTCATTCAAGTCAAATTTTGAGCGAGTTTTGACCGAGTAGAGCTCGAGTAGACCACGAGTTGTCTCGTCTCATAAGCACGGAAGCACCCCTAAACCCACCCGACATAGCCAAGTCAACTTATGAACAAAAGAGTCATTTCCGATGTCTGTTTTAGTATTATATTATTATGTTATGTTATTGATTATTAGATATTAAAACCATTTTAAAATATCAAATTAAATATTTGACCCTCACTCACTTGGCCCGTCTTGCCCATCTGACCCACTTGCTCACCTAACCCACTACCTGCCTAATCCGTGACCCACCTTACAATATATGTTCATTCGACCCAGCCCGTGACTCAGTCTACCCCAACCCAATCTGGGCCGGTCTTGTGTAACCCAACCCAAAACCCAGCCCGTATGGTGGCCACCTCTACTGCTTGGCGTCTGTAGACCAAACAAGCATAAGTAAAATGTTTAAAATAAAAAAGTGTAACAACAAAAATAAATAATGTGAAGAGACCGAAGACTTGCCTCTTTGTCCTTGACGATTAAGGAGACTCCAGGAGATATATGGTCATCATTTACGTGTTTTCCACTGCACATCCAACACAGTTGAAACAAAAAAAAAGTCACTCGACTACTCCTAAATCCTAATAATTTCAACGTACAAATTCAATAAAAAGGTGAAACGGTGGTAGAAAAGAGAGAAGCATGGTTAAAAACAATTAATTTCTACTCATGGTGAATTTTAAGGACCAATAATATTCAATATATATGTTGACAGAATGTTTCCAAATTAAAAATAATTGAGGCATTCTGATATTTTTGACTTTTCCAATCTTTATACTTAGTTTTCTCATTATAGGGTTGTATACTTGTGTATTGCATAATGAAACAATGTTACAGATTTGGATTTTTACATACAAACGCATCAATACATCAATTCACACCCACTCCTTTTGTTTCATCATAATTGCAACATTTTTGCTAATACACATGTAAATACATGACTTTAACTATTGTACTTTGTATTAATATTTGTAATTTATACTCCTTCCGATCCGGTCCTTATTGATAATCACTTATGGCCAATTTTAAATCCCAAAATGATAGTTTAATTTGTTTTAAAGTAGCATTATAATTTTTTTAGTAAAATTCTCTCCAATTTACAACAATATATAAGCAAATTTAACTTTCTCATGTATATTTCGCTTTTCCATGTACTTTTTTTTTTACTTTATCTATACTTTTTTGCATACCTAATTTATATTTATCTTTTCAATGTAATTTTAATACTTCTTATTTATGTATTAATTCCCTTAAATATTATCCATAAGAGAGTATCAATAAAAGGAGGGAGTATTATTAAGAAGTGAAGTATAAAAGGTTAATATAAAAAAGATATACTTGAAGATTAATCTAAAAATATTTTACATGCATGTCAACAACAATGTTTTTTTTTTTTTAAGTACTTCCTCCGTCCCTGAAAGAACGACCCATTTGGCCTAATTTTAGTCCCAAAAAGAATGACTCATTTGCATTAAAACACCCACCAATTTGCAACAATATTTGTGCAAAATTAGCTTCCCCATATAAAAATTTGATTTTCCATGTACTTTCTCTCTCTATTTTTTTACATACCCTATGTAAATTTATATTTTCAATATACTTTTACTTTTTTTATTTAACTTTCTTAATACCCGTGTAATCAACCCAAATGGGTCATTCTTTCGGGGACGGAAGGAGTACATTAGTAAAAAGTATAGTAAAAGTAAATCTATAAATAGTGCAAAAGTCAAATTAATGAAGTTATTACGGAGTAATTATTGTTTGTCTTAATGTTATTGTTTTTTATAATTATTGTTATTACGGAATAAATTTATAAACACTGTTTTTTATAAATTTAAATTAATGAAGTTATTAAGGAGTAAATTTATAATTATTGTTTTTTTTTAGTACGGAGTATATTGTTTGTCTTAATATTTTTACACTTTCTAATTACTCTGTGTGGACTTGTGGTTACAGATTCGGAATAATTATTACAGAGTACTAGATTCATTTTTCCTAAAATAGGAGTACAAAGTATGGAGTAGAGTTTTTTTTCTCTTTGCTGAAGATTGAGTACAATATAAGTTCGAGAATTTATGACAAACATTGTTAATTAATTAATTAATTAAGAGGGATAACTCAAGTAGATAGAGCTTTCTTCCCGATTCCAAGAGATTATGGGATCAATTCTCGCCTCTGCCCTTTTGGCTCTCTAAAAAATACTCCTTCCGTCACTTAATTAGATTCCTATTTCTCTCTATTATGTGAGGAATAAAATACTACTCCGTAGAAATAAGAATATAATAAAGGGATGAAGGGAGTAAAAAATATACATATAAATATAAATAAAAAAATCATTGTAAATTGATGCCATTAATATTTACTCCCTATATTTAATTAATCCTTAATCCTTCTTTCTTTTTTTTTCTTTTTTTTTTTTATATAATTTTCTTGCCTTAGAGCTACTTGCGATCTTGCATACTTCCTCCGTTCTTTTATTATTGCACCACTTTCCTTTTTAGGAAGTTTCACAAATATTGCACCATTTCCTCTTTAGGAAAAAAATTATTTGTGTTCACACTAAAAATATCCAACATACCCTTGCTTTTTCACACTTACTTTTTAATTTATCAATATGTCACATGGACAATTTTGTATTTTTACCTTTCTCTCTCTTACTTTTTTTCCACTATCAAAATATTTGTACCCAACCCCTATGGTGCAATAATAAAAAAACGGAAAAAGTATATCATTTTCCAACAAAAGGTCTCACTTTTAACTAACTCGTGCACTTTGAAGCTGTTATCATCACAGAGTTCACAATAAATTGGTAAACTAAAGAAAAAGGGAGGGATTAGACCGATTAGATATCAACTGTTATATCTCCTTTCTACTTTTGACTTTTACCGCATTGCATATATTTATTTTTTGTACGCGTCATATATTAATTGTCTGTTTATTAGGCCCCATTAACCTTATTTTGTTTTTACCGAACTAAAATTATTTTTGATGAATTTTTATTATATTTTTTTCTTAAAGTTTATTAGTTTTTATTGAACTTAAATTATTTTTACTGAATTAAAATTAATTTTACTGAACTGAAATTATTTTTGCTAAACTAAAATTAATTTTATTGAACATAAATTATTTTTACTGAATGTTTTTTGTTTTAAGGTGAAGTGAATAAGGTCTTACAAATGCTTAAAATATTACTGTTAAAATAATTTTACACTAGAAGTACAGTACTCCATATTGAATTAGAATAGGGAATTTGGTCATATTCATAAGATTCCTCAATGAAATCATCAGACTTCTTAACCAATAAATATTAGTTGTATATGGTTACAATTAATGATAATTGAATTGAGTTTGAATATATCAATTGTAATTGGTTAGAAATAATGATAAAAAAGAGTACGCAAAAGGATTAACAATTCATTTATTTGGGTTAATTTCATCCCAATACCACAAATTTGTACTCCCAAATCAATTTTTTCAAGAATTTCGACTTCAACAATTTATACTCTCTTGAATATGGAGTAGTGTTTTTTAGTTGGATAACTTGGAAGTTGTTTTTCATTTGAAATATATTGGAAAGGAATCGAACTCTCTCATTTTATTTATATGATAACAAAAACATAAATATTATGATTAAGACATCAATTATAGATAAAGGTGGAGGGAATAGGTTTCTGAATTTCTATAATCAAACCACCGTAGGGAATGGAAATTACCAAGTACAAGTATATTTTTAAGTGAGGAATTAAAAAAAAATGCTGCACTTTTAGCTATAAAAGTTTGACCATAAAGCTCTCTCATTTTTAGTCAACTTATTGCAACTAAAATTAAATGAAGTATATGCCATAATAGTTTTTTTTTTTTATTAACTATATGTCGACTAGGGCTGACACCTTATAAACCTTAGTAACTTCGCCACTATCATAAGGTTAATCATATTTAAGAGAAAAATAACAATAACAATAACCTAACCAAAACTTTTTTTTTTTTTTTTTTTTTTTTTTGACACAACCTAACCAAAACTAGCCTAACCGGTTTGACATATAAAGAATAATCTAAGATAATATTAAAAAAGAATATATTTGAAGGCAATAGCCGCTTAAACACACGTATAACCTATATAATACGGTAAGAATACGTAAATAGTAGTGTTAAATATTAATGGAATAATAATGCGTATAACTTGGCTATGAATGCAAAGTCACCGGCTTTATAGTAAGTGGGATGACTTCAACTATAAGCACAAAACAATTCCCTTCTTAGTTCTCACCCACCCCATACTATAAACTAGCTATATATTAGCATATTATTATATATTTATATCTATTTTCTTCTATTATAACGAACTTCTTTCGGTATAAAAGCAAACCAATTTCACTGTGTGACAAACAGCCCATAACATGTTAAATAAAAGAATTCAAGTTCCCTTTAAAAGTGACAAATGAATATATTAATTGAAAAGGACATATTTAGCTATTTTGTCCTTCTTTTTAAGCGCACTCTATAACTAAAGTAACCCTTTCTCTAATCCCCAATTTCTTGCGCCCACAAATTAGAGGGATGACATATTATCTAATGATCTAATCCAAGTTTAGATTTTATAAAATATAAAGAAAAAAACTAATTTTATTGGATGTTCGAAGTATTAAATTGTTTACACCAACAAAAAAGTGTATTTGAGGGATAGATATAATTAGACTTCTCTACATATTATTATAAAATAGTACTATTTTCTCAACAACAAAGGACGAGTACCACAAGACAAAAATATTGTTAGGTGTTCTATATAGGGAGTGATAGCAATAAAATACCCAATGCAACAAACTTACCACTTTGAAATTCTTCCCTTGTGGCCTTGTTTATGCCAGAACAAAAATAACAATAATAAATAACCAAAGTGCACCCACACAATATTTATTTGTGTGTATATTTTCCTTATTGAGATTGCATTTTTTTAAAAAAAAAAAATTATCACGTGTACGTTGGAAAATCACTAAGAAAATTTGTTTTTGTATTTTCCACAATTTAATTTATTTGAAGTCTAGAAGATTTTAAAAAAAAAAAAAAAAAAAAAAAAAAACAAACAAACTAGGTTGGAAAACTTTTTCTAAGGGTAAGAAAAACAACATTTTATTACTCGTATGAAACGCTGTATTTTTCTCTTTTTCCACCTTTCCTTCCTTTTTCTTTCTAACATTTCTAGGAATGAGCTACACAAAGTTGAATAAGTTTGGAATTGGATTCCAAATATACTTTTCATTGATGATAAAATTATGTTCAAAATTGTTTCATTCCTTTGGATCCAAATAACCTAATGTCACACTTAAGTGGAAAATATAATGCAAAGTTTTGCCACAAAGTTTGGCATAATTAATGGTGGAGGCTAAAAGCCCATTAAATTCTTCTGCTGTCATTGGAGTTGTTGAACTGCTTATGGTCAAGCTAGGAAAAAACTGTACAAACCAATTTCACCTTTTCATGTTTTTAATGAGAACCCAGGAAAGTGTTCCATAGTGTTTTGTCAAAGTT